GAAGCTGGCCAATGCTGGGAGTCACTGGCATCATACTGGGTCATTCTGGCAGCCACTGGGACTGCACTGAGGGTGACTGGGAGTGGCTGTCAGCAATTGGCATCAGGCTGCAAGCAACTCAGGGCAGCTGGGAATGACTGGGAACATGCTGGGAGCAACTGGGATACACTGGGAGGGACTGAAACCACCCTGGGGGTAAATGGGAGCAACTGGAACCCTACTGGATGGTCATGGGAGCAGCTGTGCCCATGCTGGGGTCACACTGGGATCCTATGGGAAATGGCTGGGATCATTCTGGGAGTGACTGGGAAGGTGCTGGCTCGGACTAGAACAACCCTGGAAGCGACTGGGAGCAACTGGGCCCCCACTGGGAGTGCCAGGGAGTCACTCTGAGCATGACTGCAATAATACTGGGAGTATCTGGGACTGACTGGGGTCATACTGGGGGTGACTGGAATCATACTGGGATTGATTGGGAGTGGCTGTGAGCAACTGGAATCGTGCTGAAAGCAACTAGGGGAAACTGGGAGCGACTGGAAGCATGCTGGGGCTGACTGGGATATACTCGGGGAGACTGGGAGTCACTGGGATCATATTGGAGGCTCCTGGGGTCATGCTGGCATTGACACGGAGCAACTGGGATCATAATGGGGGCCACTGGCATCATACTGGGACTGACTGGGATCATACTGGGAGTGACCAGGATCATACTGGGAGTAGCTACAATTGGACTGGGATTGTAGGGGGTGTGATTGGTCCCTGTCTGGGGGGTGCTGGGAGCTGCCAGGCGCATGCTGGGAGCCGACTGCGCAGCCACTGGGAGGAACTGGGAGCAACTGGGAATGGCAGGATGCAGCTGCAGCAGCGGCAGCTCCCCGGTGGCCCCGTGCCGGTGCCACTCGTGGTGCCGGCTCTGGCTGTGCCGAGATCCCGCTGGAAGGGGATCCCAGCCAGGGACCCCATGGACACCAACTGGGGGAACCCCGGGCCGGGCTCCGACAGCGCCACGGGCAGGGAACGCAGGGACAGGAGAACGGGGGAGACACCGAGATTTGGGGGCTGGGGGACACAGGGGGAACCAAAGGGGGAACCAAAGGGAGAGCTGGGAGAGCAGGGAACGGGGTTTGGGGGTTCCAGGACTGAGAAAAGGGGAGGCTGCGGTGGGCAGAGGGGGGACGGGCTGGGCTAAGGGGGTTCCTGCATGCAGGAAAGGGAGCTCCAAGGGTCCCCAGTGTCCCCATTCCATGCAAAAGGTGGGAAAAGCCAGGATGGCTGGGAATAGGGGTCTCGGGTGTCCTCGATGTGCAGGAGGGGGCTGGGGAATAGGAAAGGCAGGAATAGGGGTCAAGGGGGTCTCTGGGGGAAGGAAAAGAGGGCTCTGGGGGCTGGGAGAGGCGGGATGGCCGGGAAGGGGGTGAGGGGTTGATCCTCTGAACGGGAATGGGGGTGTGGGGGTTGTTGGTGCCGGATAAGGGGGTGCAGGGTGGATCCCATGCCCGGGAATGGGAGCGCGGGGGGATCCCGGTGCCCAGGAATGGGGGTTCAGGGCCCCCCCGGTGCTCCGGGATGGGCGATCAGACAGTCCCGGTGCCGGGGGTGCCCCTCAGCTCTCGCCGCCCCCCGGGCCCCAGCAGCGCCCCCAGCCCCAGCGCTGGAGCCATCGCGCTGCTCCTCCTCACTCCCAGTGTGATCCCAGTACGGTCCCAGTAGAACTCAGTCACCCGGGAGCTGTTCCCAGGATGATCCCAGTACAGCCCAGTCACTCCCACTGCTGCCATCCCTCCCCACCCCTCGCTCCGTTCCGACCTGGCCCGGCTCCATCCCCGCTCCTCCCGCCGGCTGCGAGGGCTCCGGGACCGGGGCAGGAGGAGGAGGCAGGGAGGAAGAGGCGGAGCGGCAGCAGGAAGCGGCGGGAGCAAAGCGCGGTCGGAATCGGGCGGCTCGGGCGCTGCCTGAACTCCGGGCCCCGGGAGCATCGCCCCCCATCCCGCAGGTGCCCGGGGAGGTTCCCCCCTGTCCCAGCTGCTGGGGGTCACGCTTGGACTGGGGGTGCCCTGTCCACTCGTTGCCCGCCCTCCGCAGGCTGCTGGGAGACCCAGTTGGCTCCCAGCATGGGCCTGGTAGCTCCCAGTAACCCCCAGTCAGGGTCCAATCACACCCACTCTAACCCCAGTATGATTGTAGCCACTCCCAGTATGATCCCAGTCACTGCCAGTCTGATACCAGTGTGATCCCAGTTGCCCCCTGTCAATGCCAGCATGACCCCAGGAGCCTCCAGTGTGATCCCAGTGACTCTCTGTCTCTCCCAGTATATCCCAGTCACCCCCCGCATGCTCCCAGTCACTCCCGCTTTCTACCAGTTGCTTTCAGCACAATTCCAGTTGCTCACAGCCACTCCAAGTCAATCCCAGCATGATTCCAGTCTCTGTCACTGTGATCCCAGTCTAACCCAGCATGGACCCTGCTGTTCTCACTGTGATTCAAGTTTGATCCCATTTGCCCCCAACAGAGTTCCAATTGTTCCCAGTTCCTCCCATTATGATGCCAGTTAACCTGAGATTAGTCCCAGTGCCTCCCAACAGGGTCTCAGTGATGCCCACTTGCCCCAAGCATTGTCCCAGTTGCCCCCAGCAAGATCCCAGCTGTTCCCAGTGTGGTTCCAGCCGCCCCCAGTATGGTTACAGGCATTCCCAGTATATCCCAGTTACCCCAGTAAGGTTCTATTTACCTCAGAATGATCCCAGTCTTTCCCACTAACTCCCAGTTGCCACAGTTATAGTTTCAGTCTTCTCAGCATGGTTCCAGAACCTTCCAGCCGATCCCAGTTGCTCCCAATATATGCCCATTTTCCTCCCAACATGGGCCCAGTAGCTCCCAGTAAGCCCCAGTCAGGTTCCATTTATGCCCAGTATAATCCCAGTATGAGTGTAGCCACTCCAGTATGATTCCAGTCACCTGCAGTCTAATCCCAGTTGCTCCCAGTCACTCCTAGTCACTCCCAGTCTGATGCCAGTGCACCCAGTGTGATCCCAGTGGCTCCCAGCATGGGCACAGCTGTTCCCAGTGTGCTTCCATCACTCCCCTGTGGTTACAGACACTCCCAGTATGGTCCCAGTTGAAACCAGTTGCCTCTGCTTAAATCCCAGTCACTTCCCAGATGATCCCAGTCCCTCCCAGCATGGTCCCACTCACTCCCAGTCGCCCCCAATGTGGTCCCAGCTCTGCCCAGCGTGGTCCCAGCTGTTCCCAGTGTAATTCCAGTCCCCCCAGTATCGTTACAGACACTCCCAGTATATCCTAGTTGCCCCCAGCATGTCTGTAGTCATTTCCAGACACTGCCAGTGGCCCCAGTAAGGTGTCAGTTCTCCCAGTATGATCCTCCAGTCATGCCCAGTATATCCCAGTTGCTTCCAGCATGCATCCAGTCCTTCCCAGTTCCTCCAGTTTGCTTGCAGCATCATCCCAGTTTCTCTCAGTTGCTCCCAGTAGCCCAAAATGTGATCTCAGTCATTGACTTTGACCCCAGTACGATCCCAGTAGGCTCCAGTTGGATCCCTGTCACATGCCAGCCCTCCCAGTGTGGTCCCAGTTGCTTCCAATTTCTCCCAGTATGGTCCCAGCTGCTTCCAGCATGGTTCCAGTTGCGTTCTAGATCAACCCAGTCAGTCCCAGTATGATGCCATTTGCTCCCAGCATGCTCCCAGTTGCTCCCATTCAGGCCCAGTATGGGGGAGGATGGGCAGGGTGTATTTTCAGTCGCTCTCAGATCCTCCCAGTATTAGTCCAGGCCCTCCCAGTATGATCCAAAGCTGAGGCCAGTGTGCTCCCAGTCCCTGCCAGTATGAACCTGTTGTGCTTCACATGGTTTCAGTTGCTCTCTTTCACCCTCACTTTTGTTACAGTCACTCCCAGCATGTCCCAGGGTAGCCCAGTTCCCCCCAGCATGTTCCCAGTCACTCCCAGTTGCTCCCAGTTGGGTTTTTGAGGGAATGTTTGGAGAATGAATCAGTCCAAGGCTGAGCGGAAAAGGCCCCTCAGGGGGACATCGGGAGTGCCAGTGGCGGCTGCCGGCAGAGGCAGCCTGGAGGAGCAGAGCCCTGTGTCCCCCAGGAGCCCAAAGTGGGGAGCCCAGATAGGGGGGAGCGCCGCCATTGGCGGGAGCCTCAAGAGCCTGGAGAGGGGCAGGGGGGACTCCTTGGAGCCGCTGCAGCCCCAAGCAGAGAATGAGGGGAGAAGGGAGCCCGGGAGCCCAAACAGCCCCGGCATACCAAAATGGGGAGAGCCAAGAGGGGGGAGCTTTTGGCATTGCTGGGACTGCCAGCAGCCTGGGCAGGGTGGGCACCGAGGAGAAGGGGGACCCACAATCCAAGCGTGACCCCAGCAACTGGGACAGGGGGGAACCTCCAAATACCAAAGGCGAGGGGAACTCCTGGGAGGCTTTTTCAGGGCTGAATCTTGGTGTTTGGGAGGTTTATCTGAAGCCCAGGTGTCCTGTGACTTGTAGAGATGGACATGGGCAGAGGGACCTTCAAACTCAGCGTGTGTTGGGGAAGATGAAACAGGGAAGCCTTATAAATATGATTGTCTGGCAAAAGATTTTGATAATATGGAAAGTCTAAGCAAGACGAAGAGGAAAGCAAGCTTTTAGATACCTTAGTTAGTGAACAATTGGAAAACAATGGTGTGGCCCAACTGAAGGTAATCCCCTTTTGATGAAACATTTCCCTCTGCTTGCAGACAGACCCAGGGGTCAGAGCAGACCCTACTAGCTCAGCAGGAGGAGTCCAAAGAGAAGTATTTATGGTTTGAAATGTAACACAGTGTGGTGATGTAATGCTTCTTAAAGGCTGTCTGTAAATGCTATAGGATTTATATCTTGCCCTAGATTGGTTAGTGAGAAATAGAATATTCAACAGAGAAGAAGATTCATTGTGTTGTAATAGGAACCTTACTCTCTTACGCTCCTACCCTCTTACTCCAGGATGTCCCATTGCCAACCCCTGGGAGGCTGTGAGGAAGAGGAAGATGCCCCAGGACCCTGAGGCAGGTGAGGAGGAAGTCAGTGCCCCTTTCCCTTCTGTGCTGCTCCATCTCCCAGCCCAGCATGGCCCCGGCTGCAGCACAGTCCTGGGGGGATCTCCTTGCCCTTGCCTGTGGCATGGAGGCAAATCCCATCCTGTCCTTGTCCTTCCTCCCCCAGAGCAGGAGCTGAGCATGGAGAGCAGGGAGGACAAATGCCCGCGGCAGAACCTGGTGGCAGAGGCCGTTTTGAGCGGCTCCACGGCGCAGGAAGCCAACGGGGAGGAAAAGCCCCGGAGATGCCGCACGAGGAGGGGCTGCAAACGCAGCTGGCGGGGATCTGAGGGGGAAAGAGCCAGCCTGGGCCGGGAAGGCGGCCAGAGATGGAGCCAGAGCTCAGAGCTGGTGCTCCATGAGCAGCTCCATGATGGGGAGAAGCCCCACACGTGGTTGGAGTGTGTGAAGAGCTTCAGCTGGACCTCCAGCCTGATCCTGCACCAGATGATCCACTCTGGTGAACGGCCCTATGAGTGTGAGGAGTGTGGGATGAGCTTCAGACGGCGCTCTCACCTGATCAGGTACCAGGTGATCCACACCGGGAAGAAGCCCTACCAGTGTGGGCAATGTGGGAAGAGCTTCAGCAGGAGCTCCGGCCTCATCGAGCACCAGAGGACCCACACTGGAGAGAGGCCGTACGAGTGTGCGGAGTGTGGAAGGAGGTTCAGCCACTATTCTGCTCTGATCGTGCACCTAAAGATCCACACTGGGGAGAGGCCCTACGAGGGTTCCAAGTGCGTGAAGAAGTTTAAGACCAGCTCCTATCTCCTCCTGCACTATTGGATTCACATGGACGAGAGGCCCTTCCAATGCCCTGAGTGCGGGAAGGGGTTCAGGGACAACTCCACTCTGATGCAGCATCAACGCATCCACACCATGGAGAGACCCCATGAGTGTGAGGAGTGTGGGAAGAGCTTCAAAAGGAGCTCCTACCTGATCAGCCACCAGATGATCCACAATGGGGAGAGGCCCTACGAGTGTTCCGAGTGTGGGAAGAGCTTCAGCCACAGCTCCAGCCTGAGTGTTCCGAGTGTGGGAAGGGCTTTACGAGCAGCTCCCATCTCCTACTGCACTATCGGATTCACACAGAGGAGAGGCCCTTCCGCTGCGCCGACTGTGGAAAGGGGTTCATGCAGAACTCCCACCTCATCATCCATCAGCGCATCCACACTGGGGAGAGGCCCTATGAGTGTCCCCAGTGTGGGAAGAGCTTCTCCAGCAGCTCTAACTTGACCCGACACCAACAGAGGCACCGGTAAGGGAAGCCCTGCGAGTGCCCCGAGTGTGGGAAGAGCTTTGTGCGCTGCTCCAGCTCCATCCCCCACTGGAGGAGCCACTTTGACCACATCCGTGGTCACTCACATTCCCTGTGATCCATGTTGGCAACACACTCAGCTGCTTCTCCTTTTCGTTTGGCCTTAATTTTTTTCTCTTCTTCCTCTCTGCAGTCCAAAAGCCAAGAGGGATGGATCTGTCACCTCAAAACCACTCAAATCCCAGTGAAAACTGCTTGATCTTACCCGGAAAGGATTCAGGCCCACATCAAAACGGTTTTTTCCCACCTCAAACAAACTCTACCTCTTTACAAATTCACTTGATTGCACAGCCACTGACATGGCTTAGATGGGGTTGGGAAGAGACTGGGAGATGTGGGATCTCAATTTCAAGTGCTGGGATCTCAATTTCAAGTGCTAGGGACTGGATGTGTGGGATGTATTTATAGCAAATAAAACTCCCAGACTTACTTCTTTCTCTCTGCTTTCTCTCCCGTCATGTTCAGTCCGTTGCAGTTCAGCTTGCAGAGTGCCGCTCCCAGAGTGTCCCCTCACAGTTGCCGCCCTTGGCCTGAGCCCGCCCCTTTCCCCTCACGGTTCCGCTCTTTCCCTGCCCCCTTCCCCCTCAGGGTTCCGCCCTTTCCCTGCCCCCATTTCCCCTCATGGTTCCCGCCCTTTCCCTGCCCCCGTTTCCCCTCACGGTTCCGCCCTTTCCCTGCCCCCTTTCCCCTCACGGTTCCGGCCTTTCCCTGCCCCCTTTCCCCTTACGGTTCCAGTGGGTTATGGGGGAGGAGGAGGGGCAGGAGGGATGGAAGAGGAGGGATGAAGGCGGAGAGAGAGCAGCGATGGAAGGAGGAGAAGGAGGTGGGGTTAGGGAGGAGGAGCGGGAGGGGGGATAGAAGAGGAGGAGCGGGAGGAAGAGGAGGGACAAAGGCGGATCAAGGCTGAGCTGAAGGCGCAGAGCGGTTTCGAGCCGGGCCTGAATTCGCAGCCCGCACCTGCGGGATCATCGCCCGCCCCCCATCGTGCAGGTGAGCAGGGAGAGGGAGGCCGGCCCAGATATCCCTGGGGGTCCCTGGGTTGGGTTTTTGGGGGGACGACTGGAGAATGAACAAGTCCAAAGCTGAGCGGAAAAGGCCCCGCGGGGGGACATCGGGCGCTGCCGGTACCGTCCTGGCGGGGACGCCCTGGGGGGATTCTCCTTGCCCTTGCCTGTTGCACGGAGGCAAATCCCATCCTGTCCTTGTCCTTCCTCCCCCAGAGCAGGAGCTGAGCATGGAGAGCAGGGAGGACAAATGCCCGCGGCAGAACCTGGTGGCAGAGGCCGTTTTGAGCGGCTCCACGGCGCAGGAAGCCAACGGGGAGGAAAAGCCCCGGAGATGCCGCACGAGGAGGGGCTGCAAACGCAGCTGGCGGGGATCTGAGGGGGAAAGAGCCAGCCTGGGCCGGGAAGGCGGCCAGAGATGGAGCCAGAGCTCGGAGCTGCTGCTCCATGAGAAGCTCCATGATGGGAAGAAGCCCCACATGTGTGAGGAATGTGGGAAGAGCTTCAGGTGGAACTCCAACCTGATCCTGCACCAGAGGACCCACACTGGAGAGAAGCCCTATGAGTGTGGAGATTGTGGGAAGAGCTTCAGCCGGAGCTCCAGCCTGATCAGGCATCAAAGAACCCACAATGGGGAAAAGCCCTATGAGTGTGGGGAGTGTGGGAAGAGCTTCAGGTGGAGCTCTAGCCTGATCCTGCACCAGAGGACCCACACGGGTGAGAAGCCTTACGAGTGTGGGGAATGTGGGAAGAGCTTCAGCGAGAGCTCCAGCCTTTTGAAGCACCAGAGGATCCACACTGGGGAACGGCCCTACGAGTGTGGGGAGTGTGGGAAGAGCTTCAGCTGCAGCTCTTACCTGATCAGGCACCAGATAATCCACACTAGGGAATGGCCCTACAAATGTGGGGAGTGTGGGAAGGGTTTTATTCAGAGCTCCCACCTAATCAGCCACCAGAGGATCCACACTGGGGAACGGCCCTACGAGTGTGGGGAGTGTAGGAAGAGCTTCAGCTGCAGGTCTGACCTGACCAAGCACCAGAGGATCCACACTGGGAAACGGCCCTACAACTGTGGGGAGTGCGGACAGAGCTTCAGGTGGAGGTCTGACCTGATCAGCCACCAGAGGATTCATACTGGGGAGAGGCCCTACGAGTGTGGGGACTGTGGGAAGAGCTTCAGAGAGAGGTCCAGCCTGACCAAGCATCAGAGGATCCACACTGGGGAGAGGCCCCATGAATGTGGGGAGTGTGGGAAGAGCTTCAACTTGAGCTCCAGCCTGATCAAGCACCAGAGGATCCACACTGGGGAAAGGCCTTTCAAGTGTTCCATGTGCGGGAAGAGCTTCAGCCAGAGCTCCCACCTGATCACACACCAGATGACCCACACTGGGGAGAGGCCCTACAAGTGTTCCAAGTGTGGGAAGGGGTTTCAGTCCAGCTCCCACCTCCTCCGCCACTATCAGATTCACACAGAGGAGAGGCCCTTCCAATGCCCTGAGTGTGGGAAGGGATTCAAGCGCAACTCCACCCTCATCACTCACCAGCGCATCCACACTGGGGAGAGGCTCTACGAGTGTGATAAATGCAGGAAGAGGTTTCTGACCAGCTCCAGTCTCGTCCTGCACTCTCGGATTCACACAGAGGAGAGGCCCTTCCGCTGCCCTGACTGTGGAAAGGGATTCCAGCGCAACTGCAACCTCGTCAAGCACCGGCGCATCCACACTGGGCAGAGGCCCTGTGAGTGTCCCCAGTGTGGGAAGAGCTTCTCCAGCAGCTCTCACTTGACCCAACACCAACGAAGGCACCGGTAAGGGAAGCCCTGCGAGTGCCCCGAGTGCAGGAAGAGCTTCGTGCGCTGCTGCACCTCACGGGTAGTGATTGTGTGGGGCTGGCTGTACAGGATGCATTTGCAGCAAATAAAACTCCTAGACTTACTGATTTCTCTCCCGTTCATGTTCAGTCCGTTGCAGTTCTGGTTGCAGAGTACCGCCTCCCAGAGTGTCCCCTCACAGCTGGCGCCCTTGGCCTGAGCCCGCCCCTTTCCCCCCAGGTTCCGCTCTTTCCCTGCCCCCGTTTCCCCTCACGGTTCCAACCCTTTCCCTGTCCCCTTTCCCCTCACGGTTCCGGCCTTTCCCTGCCCCGTTTCCCCTCAGGGTTCCGCCCCTTCCTCGCCCCCTTTCCCCTCATGGCTTGGCCTTCCGGAATGGGGCGGAGGAGGAGGGAGGGAGGAAGAGGCCGAGCGGCGGCAGCACAAGAGGAGAGGGAGAATCTCGTGGCCCGGGCGCTCCCTGAAAGTGCCACAGCCCCGGAAGCATCGCCCCCAATTTTGCAGGTGCCCGGGCAGGGGGAGCGCGGCGCAAATATCCCAAGGGGGGTTCCTGGGTTTGGGGTTTTTTGGGGGGGAGGTTTGCAGCTGGCAGGGCTCCAAAGCCAAGCCGCAGATGCCTCTCGGGGAGACATCGGTCGGAGGGTCCCAGCGCCAGCAGTGGCTGCTCCCAGTATGAGCCCAGTTGGTCCCTCCATGTGCTTCCAGTTTCCTCGGCACTCCCAGTGTGAGCCTGGTCATTCCCAATATGGGCCTGTGCACTCCCAGTATAATCCTGGTCACTTCCCCTGCCTCCCTGCAGGATCCCAGTGACTACCAGACGAGGTCAGTCCCTCCCAGTCCTTCCCTATGATGATGCAAATTTCTCACAGCATGGTCCTAGTTCCTCCCACTTTCATCCAGTGTATTCCCAGTTCTCCCAGTTGGCCCTAGCATAGTCCCAGGCACTCCCAGTATGATCCCAGTCTCTCCCAGCAGGTTCCCAGTCACTCCCACTTGCCCCCAGTGTGTTCCCAGTTCCCCCAGCACATTCCCAGTCTGGTCCCAGTCCCACACCCAAATGGTCTGAGACCCTCACACTATATCCCAGTTGCCCTGAACATTCTGGCAGTCATTGCCAGGCACTCCCAGTCACCTCAGTGTGGTTCACTTGCCCCCAGTTATCTCCCAGGTGCTCCCAGTTGCTCTAATTATGTCCCCAGTTGACTCCCAGCAGGGCCTGGTAGCTCCCAGTAACCCCCAGTCAGGGTCCAATCACACTCACTCTAATCCCAGTATGATTGTAACCACTCCTGGTATGATCCCAGTCACTTGCAGTCTAATCCCAGTTGCTACCAGACACTCCTGGTACAATTCCAGTCCCTCCAGTGTGATCCCAGTTGCTCCCTGTCAATGCCAGCATGATTCCAGTCACCGTGAGAGTGATCCCAGTGGCTCCCAGCATGGGCCCAGCTGTTCCTAGTGTGCTTCCATCACTCCATTATGGTTACAGACACTCCAAGTATGGTCCCAATTGAACACAGTTGCCCCTGCTCTAGTCCCAGTCACTCCCCATATGATCTCAGTTCCTCTCAGCATGGTCCCACTCACTCCCAGTTTCTCCCAGCATAGTCCCAGTTCTCCCCAGCATGGCCCCAGTTGTTCCCAATGTGATTACTGTTACCCCAGTATGGTGTCCGACAATACCAGTATATCCCAGTTGTCCCCAGCATGTCTGTAGTCATTTCCAGACACTGCCAGTGGCCCCAGTAAGGTGTTAGTTCTCCCAGTATGATCCCCCAGTCATGCCCAGTATATCCCAGTTGCCTGCAGCAGGCATCCAGTCCTTCCCAGTTCCTCCAGTTTGCTTGCAGCATCATCCCAGTTTTGCTCAGTTGCTGCCAGTAACCAAAAGTGTGATCCCAGTCGCTCCCTTTAAACCCAAATGTGATCCCAGTAAGCTCCAGTTTGATCCCAGTCACATGCCAGCCCTCTCAGCGAGGTCCCAGTATAATCCCAATTGCTTCCAATTTCTCCCAGTATGGTCCCAGCTGCCTCCAGCATGGTTCCAGTTGCTTCCTAGATCAGCCCAGTCAGTCCCAGTATGATGCCACTTGCTCCCAGTGCGCTCCCAGTTGCTCCCAATAGGGCTCAGTATGGGGGATGATGTGCAGGGTGTGTTCCCAGTCACTCTCAGATACTCCCAGTATTAGTCCAGTCCCTCCCAGTATGATCCAAAGATGAGCCCAGTGTGCTCCTAGTCTCTACCAGAATAAACCTGTTGTGCTTCACATGGTTTCAGTTGCTCTCTTTCACCCTCACTTTCCTTCCAGTCACTCCCAGTATGTCCCAGTGTAGCCCAGTTCCCTCCAGCATCTTTCCAGTTCCTTCCAGTATGATCCCATTTGCTCACAAGCACTCCCAGTCAGCCTCAGTGTAGTGGCATTCACTGCCAGTATGATCCCTGTCACCTCCAGCATGATCCCAGTTCATCCCAGTATAAGTCCAGTTGTTTCCAATCACCTCCAGCGTGCACCCAGACACGCCCAGTTCCTGCCTGTTGCTCCTAGCATGTCCACAGTTGCTCACAGCTGCTCCCAGTCACCCTCAGTATAATCCCAGTCACTCCCAGTTTATCTCATTTGCTCCTAACATGGTCTGAATTGCTCACCGCAGGCTCCTGCTCCCTCCCAGTATGATCCCAGTATAATATCAACACAAACCCAGTACAGTCCCAGCATGATACTAGTGTGATGTCAGTACAAAGCCAGTGCAGTCCCAGTCACTCCCAGTAGGATCCCAGTGCAGCCCCGTCCCTGGCAGTGCTGTCACTGCTCGGATCCCCCAGCCCTGTGTGCATCCCCCCCTGGCGGATGTGCCGAGAGGAGCCCCAAGGGCTGGCAGCGGCCAGGCAGGGTCCCCAGCAAGGCCCAGTTTGGATGTGCAGCTCCCAGTTTGCCCAGTTTGCCTCTCCTTTGGCCCGGGCCGGGATCCCCCCGCCTGCAGCGGCTGGGAGCAGCCGAGAGCCCCGCGCTGCCCATCCCGACCTGTCCCGGCTCCATCCCCGCTCCTGCCACGGGCTGCGAGGGCTGCGGGAACGGGGCACCGAGGGTGTGGCTGCTGCTGGGGGAGGAGGAGGAGGGAGGGACGGGCAGGGATGAAGGGGGAGGAGGAGGCGGGGTAAGGGGGAAGAGGAGGAGGAGGGGGAATGGAAGGAGCGGGATGGAAGAGGAGAAGGAGGGGGAGATCGGACAGAGGAGGAGCGGGAGGAAGAGGAAGAGGAGGGACATAGGCGGATCAAGGCTGAATAGACGGAGCCGCGCTCTAGCCTTGCCTGAATTCGCAGCCCCCGTCAGTGGGATCATCGCCCCTCCCCCACATGGCGCAGGTAAGCGGGGAGGGGGATCCCGGCCCAGATATCCCGGGGGGACCCTGGGTTGGGTTTTTGGGGAGATGTTTGGAGAATGAAACAGTCCAAGGCTGAGCGGAAAAGGCCCCTCGGGGGGACATCGGGAGTGCCAGTGGTGGCTGCCGGCAGAGGCAGCCTGGAGGAGCAGAGCCCTGTGTCTCCCAGGAGCCCAAAGTGGGGAGCCCAGAGAGGGGGGAGCGCCGCCATTGGCGGGAGCCTCAAGAGCCTGGAGAGGGGCAGGGGGGACTCCTTGGAGCCGCTGCAGCCCCGAGCAGAGAATGAGGGGAGAAGGGAGCCCGGGAGCCCAAAGAGCCCCGGCATCCCGAAATAGGGAGGGCGAAGAGGGGGGAGCTTTTGATATTGCTGGGACTGCCAGCAGCCTGGGCAGGGCGGGCACCGAGGAGAAGGGTACCCCAAATCCAAGCGTGACCCCAGCAACTGGGACAGGGGGGAGCCCCCGAACACCAAAGGGGAGGGACCAGGGACAGGCAACTCCTGTGAGGCTTTTTCAGGGCTGAATCTTGGTGTTTGGGAGGGCTTTCTGGAGCCTAGGTGTCCGGTGACTTGTACAGATGGACTTGGGCAGAAGGACCTTGAAACTCCTCGTGTGTTGGGGGAAGATAAAAGAGGGAAGCCTTATAAATATGATTGTCTGGCAAAAGAATTTGGGAATATAGAAACTATAAGCAAGATTGAGATGAAAGCAAGCTTTGGGAAACATTAGTTAGTGAACAACTGGAAACCAATGGTGTGGCCCGACTGAAGGTAATCCACTTTTGATGAAGCAACTCCCGCTGCTTGCAGCCTGATCCAAGGGTCAGAGCACACCCTACTAGCTTAGCACAAGGGGTCCAAAGTGTAATTTTTAGGGCTTAAAATGTAACACAGTGTGGTGATGTAATGCTTCTTAAAGGCTGTCTGTAAATGCTATAGGATTTGTATCTTGTACTAGATTGGTTAGTGAGAAATAGAATATTCAACAGAGAAAAAGATGTATTGTATTGTAACGGGAACCTTACTCTCTTACGCTCTTACCCTCTTCCTATCTCACCCTCTCATGCTCTCTACCCCTCTTTTCTCTCGGGCCTGCTCCAAGCTGTGGCTGGCAGCTCCAAGAAGGGCCCTGCACCCAGGCCCTTTGCAATAAACTGCAAGTTCCATGGCCTGGCTTCAGAGATCTCTCGTCTCTGTCCATCCCAACCTTGCTACCCCCCGACACTCCTACAAACGTACTCATGGCTTGTTTTCCCCAACCCAGGATTTCCCATTGCCAACCCCTGGGAGGCTGCAAGGAAGAGGAAGATGCTCCGGGACACTGAGGCAGGTGAGGAGGAAGTCAGTGCCCCTTTGCCCCTCTGTGCCGCTCCATCTCCCAGCCCAGCACGGCCCCGGCTGCAGCACAACACTGGGGGGATCTCCCTGCCCTTGCCTGTGGCACGGAGGCAAATCCCACCCTGTCCTTGTCCTTCCTCCCCCAGAGCAGGAGCTGAGCATGGAGAGCAGGGAGGACAAATGCCCGCAGCAGAACCTGGTGGCAGAGGCCGTTTTGAGCAGCTGCACGGCGCAGGAAGCCAACAGGGAGGAAAAGCCCCGGAGATGCTGCATGAGGAGGGGCTGCAAACGCAGCTGGCGGGGATCTGAGGGGGAAAGAGCCAGCCTGGGCCGGGAAGGTGGCCAGGGATGGAGCCAGAGTTCGGAGCTGGTGCTTCATGAGCAGCTTCATGATGGGGAGAAGCCT